AATCGACAATAAATACATGCTCTTTTGCAAGTATTTGCGCATGATCGTGACTAAAACACACAGTACATACGAGTACATACGAGTAACATACGAGTACATACGAGTGACATACGAGTACATACGAGTAACATACAAGTATATACGAGTAACATACGAGTACATACGAGTGACATACGACTATTTTCTGGTCAACAAATGAGAAACAACACAATTTCTTCAATACATTGTTATTTGCGTTTATTTTCCCTTGTATTTGCGTGGACCTTGGGGCAACCATTTGATGGATTTAAATGCTGAAAAGGTATTTTACTTTAATACTACATTCATTTGTATGTTTTAGTTGAATTTGTTATAGATATTTTGTCGATGCGATTTGCCAGTATTTGAGCGCTTTTTGACACACTTCCTCCTAGGAAATACATATTTATGAAAGCGATTAAATTAACAACGTATAAATAACGCTTTCAAAACGTGCTATATGAAATAAATGTACATTATATATATTTGGATTAAATGAGAGTTGCAGTGTGTTACGTATATATATCATATTATGCGTACAATTTCAGCTTACTTTTAATGTTTTTAAAGTTCTAGCTGATATAATTCAGTCTTTTAACTGCAAAATCAGTATCTTAAAGACCAAAATGAATGTATAATTGCTTTCATAAATATGTATTTCCTAGGTGGAAGTGTGTCAAAAAGCGCTCAAATACTGGCAAATCGCATCGACAAAATATCCATAACAAATTCAACTAAAACATACAAATGAATGTAGTATGAAAATAAAATACCTTTTCAGCATTTAAATCCATCAATTGGTTGCCCCAAAGTTCACACAAATACAAGGAAAAATAAACGCAAATATCAATGTATTGAAGAAATTGTGTTGTTTCTCATTTGTTGACCAGAAAATAGTCGTATGTCACTCGTATGTACTCGTATGTTACTCGTATGTACTTGTATGTCACTCGTATGTACTCGTATGTCACTCGTATCTGCTCGTATGTACTCGTATGTACTCGTGTGGTGTTTTAGTCACGATCTTTGCGCATACGATAGAAATCACAATTAAGTAATAAGTGGAAATCAAATTTTTGCGTACGCCGTTTTGGCTGCCACCAAAGTTCACGAAATATTTGAAACTGGCTTTAAGTTACAACGGGAAGAAGGAAACATCAAAAAGTTATATCTGCCAATGAGTGTAACTGATGTTATGAATTTGGTAAATAATATTCTATTTGTTTTTCTTTCACCTTCTTAACTGCTTTTACCAATCACATGCTTGGGTATTGACCATGTAAAGGACTGCGAGTTAAAGCAGTATAGCAATTGGTTTGGTACGATTTTATATATGTTGCAGTTTAGCACATACTTTGTAGAAATTGTATAAATATATTTTGACTCTGAATATGACTACCGCTAAGGTTTTCAACAAAAACAGTCCTTCTCAGGACTATACTAACCTGGACGATCTATATCTACAAACATGTAACGATACTCGGGCTCAACCAATTTATTTTATTACGATCATTTGGACGACAGAGCTAACTACTTGCTAACGACTACATACGTTTTGCAAGCAACGTCAGACTCATACGCCAACAACTCTGGTTCAACCACCGCTGCAAGGATTTTGGTCTCGTACAAGCAGGACTTAGAATTAAGTCGCCGTTGAACACACAAGAGGCTATTTGGATTGTCAAATCCACTAGCAAACAATACACAATTGACACCCACACGTTTCTTGTACACAAAATACAATGACGTAAGAACCAGATAACAAATGCGGCTAACCTCACGTTTACTCCTCATTTGACTCTGAAGATGACTACCGCTAAGGTTGTCGAAACGTCAGTCAAAACAACAAAAGCAGTCCTTCTCAGGACTATACCAACCTGGACGATCTACATCTACAAACATGTAACATTCTTCATTTGTAACTAAAATTACCGAGCACTTTAGAATTTGTCTTTCTGGCCATGAATGAATGATGAAAGCTGTGCATAAGTGCAAGGCACAACGAAAGCATCTTCCTCTGGCCAATTGTCATAAATGAAATTTTGCTAAGCTATAGCTCTCGTGTGCGACATAAGTCATAGTATTTTTTTGAAGATTTCGCGCGATGCAAATCGACTATAAGTTTTTTATCTATGTTTTATCATAACCATGAATGTTTATTTGCTCACTATTAGCGTGCTATACTTTGCATTTTCGACACGGACGAATGCATATTGACAAAGGTGTCATTCGCCTTACCTAATTTTGCACTACTCGGAGAACCAAATACCCAAATAATCGCTTGAACAAGATGGTTGCAGACGCAAATTGACAAACAGTTTGACACAAAATGGTAAGTCATTCGAAATTGTATCGTCAAATTGCTATATTTATCAAAAAACTTTCTTTGTTACTCTCGCAGAGCATAATATTAAATAACGATTGAAATATTTACGACAATTACTTTCACCACGCAACGGAATGTTCATTAAAATACAGCAGTATTTTCTCGTATGTAACTGCATACAACAATTTATGTCTATTTTCATCTTAATTTCTATTCAGTATACCAAAAAACGTTTTTTTCATATTAATTTGTCGTCAATGATACTTATCAAACATTTTATGCGACGTGCGTGTATAACATTACCCTGTTCACTTACGACACACAAGTGACACGTTGCTTATGCCTGTTTCAAACGTCGCATTTTACATGAGACGAATGCATTTAAAGTGCTACTGAAGTTAAATTTTCATACTTCGTTTTTTCACATAAACATTTTCTTTGTATTTACTGATCATTTTGAGTTATTGCACACTGAATTTGATTTAGGGGAACGCATTGAAATTTGTGTTCAAACATGGCACTTTAATGCGAATTTGCTTTGAGCGCGTGACGTCATTTAAAGGACGGAGTTCTATTTTAAAGCTATCACTTAATAAAATATATACGAACCAGAATATTTCCAGCATGAGTTTTACATTTTTATAACTTTTTCTCCAAGAATCAAGTATAGCTGGTAAAAATGAGTAATACCAATAAGAATACAGCATATACAACCATTATAGTTTTATTAACTTCTACAATAAACTTATATTTCTCGATGAACTGGGTACTGTTTCCCTGTCAACAACAGCGAGATTACACATAATATAAATATTAACACGGTTTATTTTACCGTCACATGAAAACATGTGACTTGGACGAGATTTGAACTCGCACCTTTGGGATACTAGTCCGCCGCTCTACCTGTTGAGCTACCAAGCCCACAGGGATTGGAGACGAGTCAAATATTTTAAAACTACGTATGGACGAAAACTAAAATGGCGGAAAATAGTAATACAAACATTGTTGATCAAATTCTGCCAAATTTAAACGAACATTCTTCAAGAATCTCGCCTCAAACAAGTGCAGAAACAAAGCTAAAGTAAGTCACATTTTCAATTCTAATACAGGTAGACGGCGGTCTACATCAGTTGTACCAACTACGAACACTACCGAACAAAATGTGCCGAGGAGGAGTTTTGTCACGACGCGAAATTTTACTTCACAGCGCCCGTCTGCTTCTAAGCGAAGAAGGATTAGGGAATCTAAAAAAAGGCATGGTGCTATAGATAATAGACCATTCTTATGCGAGCTTATTTTGCTGGGAGGACCGAATGCTTCTGTCGTTTCTCGTCATAGAGCATGCCTTGCTCTGATGGAACGGAGTCACATGATGTCAGGCTGCAGATTCACCAAGGCAATGAACGCTGCACAAGTGGAAATTGCCATAATGGAAGCTTTTGTTGACAAAACTCCAGCTGGTGTGGATATCGAAATATTAATGTCAATGCACACATCTCTTGTTGTGCCATTTTTGGCTCATGGTCAGATTGGCATTGATGGAGCAATTTTGCAACGGCTCTTTCAGAGTAAACCAGTTTAGGTGTGACCAAACAAACAGATCATAACTGAGCATCATGTATGAGTTTCTGTTGTCCTCTTCCGTGGTTTAAAAGCTGCATCAACTGTTTTACTTGCACATGTGTATGTTAATGCACCATATTTCAGCATCTTGATTGGAAAAACGAAATAATTGACAATATTATACTCATCATATATAAATTAAATATGCAGTCAATGTGGAAAAATGTGTAATTTAATATAATACACATCACAGGAATAGTTTGTGAAGTCCCTGTTATATTTTTAAATAATGATTTGTTTGGTGATGTGCACATTTCCAGAAGCTCTACTGATGCCAATCATAAGCCATTGGCTTTGCCTCGAGATACAGCACAATCTCTATTATCACTGCCTCCAGAGACAGCACAAGCTTCTTTACAATCAACCACTGACCTTCATACAATTGGTGTACAGGATACATCAGGTTAGTTACATTAAATATTATATTGCCACCATGCTTTATCTTATTGCTAAATTATATTATTTTTTTACAGCACAACCTCCGTTTTCATTGCCTTAAGAGACAGCACAAGCTTCTTTTCAATCTACTACTGATCTTCATGCAGTTTGTGTACAGGATACATCACATTATTGCCACCATGCTTTATCTTATCGCTAAGTCAATCTAAAGATGGTGGATTCTCAGGTTAGCAGTCCGATAGATGCGTGAGTCGGAATCGTATAGATTATAAGTAAATAATTTTTTCTTCGATCTAGTAAATAATGATATAGTGTAAAGAACAAATGTGCAGTTTAACAGTATACCAAACGAAAATACATGAACTCACTTCTTTGCCGGGTCCTCACGATCTACATTAATTTCAATACAGGTTAGCCGATATAATAAAGTAATACAATGATGAAGCTTTCGCGGTTAGCATGTGGTAACTGTCAGCTGCACTATAGACTCAAATCCCTTTTATCCCAATGAATATTGCGCGTCAAATTACGCGTCAGTTAAAACATGCATAAATTAAACTCCAGTGCTAAATAATTATATCCGTGCAGTTTGTCAGCAATCCATCCTCCCCCCCCGATAAAGAAACATTACTTATCAGTTTATTTCTTCTGCTGCTTGAATCACAGCGATCTTGGTGATTGGTCTCGAGTACTCCCCTGAACTTGTTTTGACCTTTACGTTTCGTACCTTTCCATCCTCTCCCGGGTACCCTTCTACTATCCGTCCTACTGTCCACTTTCCTCGTACAGCATTTCCGTCAGCCACTATTACCACATCATCGACTCGCACATTTCTCTTTTCCTGATTCCATTTTTTCCTGGGGACAAGTAATGGAAATGTGTCTCTTGTCCATCGTTTCCAAAACGAGTCCACGATCTTTTGCACAAACTCCACCATTCTTCTGGGGTTTTTGGTTTCTTGAAATGGACCTTGTGGTACTTGAACAGATGCTCTACACAGGAGCATATCATTGGGGCACAAATATGAGTCGTCATCGGGATCATTCGGAGGTCGTCCAATTGGGCGTTGATTTACTAAGTTCGCTACTTCCAGTAAACAAGTATACAGCTCAAACGGAGTAAGTATGTGTTCTCCAATCGCTCTCTTCAGGGCTCGTTTGCAGCTTTTCACCATCGCCTCTGCACATCCGTTTTGATGTGGTGCCGCTGGGGTGCTAAGCTTCCATTGTACTCCCTTTTCCGCGCAGTAGTCTTGAAGTAGCCTTTTGTCAGCTCCTTGGATCATTTTGCGCAGATTGGTCAATGCACCAACAAACTGCGTACCGTTATCACTCAAGATTTCTGCTGGGTATCCCCGAATTGAGAAGAATCTTCGCAGAGTCTGGATAAATTCCATCGCTGAACAGTCGGTGGCGATTTCTAGGTGGACTGCTCGAGTATTTAGGCACGTAAAGATTACTCCGTAATGTTTCGTTCTCTTGTTTCTTCCCACTTTGACAGTCAGTGGTCCAAAGTAGTCGCATGCTGTGTAGTGGAACGGTGGGGAATGGGGTTGAAGTCGCTGTGGTGGTAAGTTGGCCATTATCTGTGATTCAGTTTTTGGGTTTGCTGCTCGACATGTGACACACTTTGCCTTGATGCTCTTTGCTAAATCGTGTGCTCGAATGATCCAATACATTCTTCTGATTTTTGCTACCGTAGTTGCCACCCCGTGGTGACCTTTTTTGTGAAACTCTTCCACTATCAATTTGGAGATTCGGTGATTATAGGGCAAGAGAGCAGGATGCTTGGTTTCGTAAGAGACTAATGAGTTATCAATTCTTCCGCCAACTCTAACAGTGCCTTCTTCATCGGTAAAAGGGCTCAGAGATCTTAATTCGTTAGATTTCAATTGTGCACGAATCTTTGTTTAAGCTCTTTTAATCCAGAATGTCCTACTTCTTTCGAGTTCTGCCGGTGTTAAGCAATCTCCTCTTGCTGTGTCCTTCGCTGTCGACCGTACCTTTGCTAATAATGTTTACTTAGCTCTCAAAACCAAGCAGTAACTCGTACGAGCTTTCTCCAACTTGAAAACCTTTCACTGTCAATTACGTTTACTGACGTTGTGACTGCACCTACCAATTTTCAACTTCTACATTCCCTTTCAACTTCTTTTGCATCGGGTTTTGCGTTTTCGACCGGCCATTCTTCCTTTGGCAAGTACAGGAATTCAGGACCGTTTTTCCATCTATCCGACAGCTCAACAACACGGAGACCACGGGATACATCATCTGCCACGTTCTGATCCGTTGGGATGTGTCTCCATTGAGCAGGTTGGACGTTGCTTTGTATTTCCCCTACTCGACTTGAAACAAATGGTTTGAGTCGTCTTCTCTGGCTGCGGATCCACGCAAGAACAATTGCGCTGTCGGTAAACAAGACACTCTCTTTTAGTGGTATACGGAGTTCATTTTGGATGGTCTTGCATAAACGGCTGGCTAACACGGCTGCTTGTAGTTCTAATCTGGGTATTGTTAGCTCTTTCAATGGGGCGACTCGTGACTTTGCTGCAACAAACCGTACGTTCACTACTCCATTAGGTCCTATACTTCTCAAATATGCACATGTTCCAAATGCTTCTCGCGATGCGTCGGCAAAGGCACATAAGATCGGTGGCTCAATCATTACAACGGGACATAGACATCTTTCCAACGATATTTCGTTTAACTGATCCATCTCTTTAAAGTACGTCAACCATTTTGTTTGATCACTTTGCGATAGTTCATGGTCCCAGTCGAGTCCTTGCTGCCACAGTTCCTGCAAACCAATCTTTGCCCTTATAAGGTAAGGTGCTGCAAAGCCTATTGGGTCATATATTCTAGCGACTTGGCTTAGGATCTTCCTCTTTGTGAACTTTGGCTGTTGGGTGTGGCATATTTCTACTTTTACTTTATACTTAAGCACATCCTCTTTCTTGTTCCAGGCCAGGCCGAGCACTTTTGACTCTTGTTTTCCATGAGGAACATCAACTTCATTACCATCTTCTTGCTCGTCTTTCCTGTGCAACTCTCCGTTTGATTGCCATCCCTTCACATGAAACCGCCATTATCAAGGATGCTGTCGATTGCTTTAGTCAACCCGATTGCTTCTTCATTTGTAGCAACTGAATCCAGAATATCGTCCATGTAAGAATTGTCCTTTATAACTTTTGCTGCTCTCGGGTTCTCTGATGCTCCTTCATCTGCAGTTTACCGCAAGGCAACTTGGGCCATCGCAGGTGCAGGTTTGTCACCGAACGTAAGTACGTTCATAACGAAAGTGTCCGGAGGTCTATCAATCTCTAAATTCCTCCATAGGAATCGGTGTACCTGCTGGTCTTCGACAGGGATAAGGACTCGGTGATACATCTTTGAGATGTCCGCAGTGAGGGCAACTTTATTTTCCCTAAAACGGAGAATAACTCCGAATAGAGAGTTCAGAAGATCAGGCCCCTTTTGCCAATAATCGTTCAGCTTATGTCCTCGGAACGTAGCGGAGGAGTTGAAAACGATACGAACCGGGGTGCTTGTACTGTCAGGTCTTAGAACTGCAGGGTGGGAGATGTAATGGACTGGTTCTTTGTGTTCTTAACTTCCTTCTCGGATAACTTTCGAGAAAACCCCATGTTTTCCATTTCTGTCATCTTGTTGTTGTACGCTGCTGCTTGCGTAGGAATTTTCAATAATCGACGCTCAGTTGACTCTAGTCGTTTCAATGCCTGGATTCTGTTATCTGGTAAGTCTTGGGGTTTTCTTCCATGGATATGGAATCATCCACTGCTTTCCAACCTTTTTTGCAGACTGTTCAATCACTTGCTTTTCTTCTCTTTCGGATTGGCTCAATTTTTCAGCTTCACAGGTGCACGGCTTTACTGTTACTCCCATAGCTTCGGTTGCCCAAAATTCTGATAAATCAACTGCTTCTGGGTACCTCACGTGTAATACAGTTGTTGTTGCAATGTTTGACTGTCCCGTTGATGATACGAACAGAACCCATCCGAGTGGCGATTCTCTCGCGACAACATGTTCGACTTGCTTTGTTTGACCCTTTTGCATGTATGCATGATCGATTCCAACAAGTAAGTCGACTTGGCCCTTTCCACGCTTCACCTTATCCTTTGGTAATCCGAGTTTTTCGATTGCATTCCCGGTATTGATTCCTTTGACATCCTCACTGATAGATGGTATTCCAACTGCAGTGATTGTATACTTCTTTGATTCTCCGATTCTGCTTACTTGAACTTTGTAGCTCTTTGTGCAGATTGACTCTTCCTCTCCACCTATTTTTATGATGTTAACGGAGATGTCTTTCCTTTCAGACCGAGACTCTCCGCCGTTTCGCTGCGGATTAGACTTATCTGAGCTCCAGAATCCAGAAGAACGTTGCCGCGCTTGTAGAGACCATTTGATCCGCAAATGTTAGCAGAAATCACTGGTAGGATTGAGTCGTTTAGACCAGTTACTGATGCAATGGTTGCACCTGTTTTGTGCAGCAGCGGATGGTGACTGGATGTGCACTGGACTCCATTTTCATACTTGGTGCATTGCTTTCGCCTGTTGCAATTTGCTTGACGATGATCCCGACCCGCTTTCTTCAAACAGCTGAAACACACGTGATTATCTTTCGCAACTTTTATTCGCTCATCGACAGACATCGCTGCCAATTTTTGACACTGGTCCGGCCAATGATTTGAGTTCTTGCAGAGCCAACACTTGAATCGGTTTTTACTTTCTTCCGTGACTGTACCATTGACATGATTGACTTTGCGTCGAGTGAGAGACGTACCACTCCTGACTGGGGCTGTTGCACGCATGCGCAACTTCATCTCAATTGTCATCCAATTCATCAACGCTTTAAGGGTTGCGGGCTTTTTCTCTCTCTCTAAGTCTCTCGACCACACTTTTCGATCATCTGGACACATCTTTTGTTCAATTATGGATAGCATGTGGCTGTTATCCATGTCACTCGGAACCCCTACCTCTTTCAACGTGTTGAAACACCGCCTAACCAAATGAACTAAATCACAGAAACGCGCGTCCTCTCCTGTTTCTAGGGCTTTAAATTTAACGATGTCCTGCGTTTTGGTGTCTGATACGTACCGAGGGTCCCTGTAAATGGAATCTAAGTATTCCCACGCTGCATCATAATCAGAACCAATACCTTTTATTAATTCAAGTGGTTTCTCTTTCAAACAAGTTCGCAGTAGTGTTATTGAATCTCGTTTTGTATATCTCGATTCAATTGTATGCTTGAAATCCGCACGAAATATTGCATATTCACGTACGTCGCCCGAAAATTTTGGTAGCTTTGGTTTTTCCATTTGAAACCCGCAGGGACTTCGTGTATTTTCAGATTCATTTTTTACTTCAGATTGAACGTAATTTGATTCGGAAAATTTTCCTCATTTGTTGGGCTTATTTCGGTGGGAGCGTTGACAGATTCCTCGGAAATTACCGCGTGGGAACTTTCCGCCACATTGCTCATTTCATCACCTACGCTGGTCGGGTTTTCTTCAATAGCTGCGGGGCTCATATTACTTGCGCTGTCAACATTTTGCATTCCGATCATTCCAGACGAATTTTGCTCGTTTTGACTGATGCTAGTTTCTGAAGTTTTCACTGAAACCAATTGTTCGATATAATATTTTGCCTCAATATCAAGTTTTAAAAATTCGTTTTGGCACTCATCTAACCAATGCTCTTCTGCTTCAAAAGCTTCATCGTTCATAATCAAATTTGCATAGAGCTCATGTTTCTCTACCACGTTGTCGAACGCTTGTTTTACTTTGACGAGATAGTCGCTTACCTCGTTTGCTGGTCTTTTATTTATACACAGATGATTCAAGGCCTTTCCCAGTCTTGTCAATGTAGACTTGGCTGCTCGGCGTTTGAGCTTAGCAGTCTTCAGTGCCTCGTCTTCGTTACTCATGGTTCAGGTTCTCCACGCGATTAATTTTTCTTCAGAAATCGAATGTTGTGGATTCTCAGGTTAGCAGTCCGATAGATGCGTGAGTCGGAATCGTATAGATTATAAGTAAATAATTTTTTCTTCGATCTAGTAAGTAATGATATAGTGTAAATAACAAATGTGCAGTTTAACAGTATACCAAACGAAAATACATGAACTCACTTCTTTGCCGGGTCCTCACGATCTACATTAATTTCAATACAGGTTAGCCGATATAATAAAGTAATACAATGATGAAGCTTTCGCCCTGGTTAGCATGTGGTAACTGTCAGCTGCACTATAGACTCAAATCCTTTTATCCCATGAATATTGCGCGTCAAATTACGCGTCAGTTAAAACATGCATAAATTAAACTCCAGTGCTAAATAATTATATCCGTGCAGTTTGTCAGCAATCCAGATGGACTTAGATTAATGAGACCAATACCGGTTAATGTAGATCTTTAAATTACCAAGTCATACCAAAAACTAATTTAATATAAAAGCTAGTTGTTGCTGATATGTTTTCAAGAATTAATTTTCATATCAATATATTCTTGGCTTAGGCAGTTAAAAATTTTTATTGCAATACGCGCACTTAAAATACAAGAGTAAATCAATTTTAAAGTTATCAATAGCATCATAGTTCACCAGTTCTATGCACATTGCACATTTTAACAAAATCAATTTCCTTTTTAACGTGTTGCAATAGTTTACGAAAATTGAAATGGCATACCCGACAAGCCAAGTAGCCTATATGTACTGTAGAAAAAGCTATGCCGAAATATATTGTAAAATACATTACAAAATCGAAATTTCACGGCGCATAATTCAACTTACGCTGCTAGAATACAACCTGTGAGTGCCAATGAAATCTCTTGCATAAAGCTTCTTGTGACTTGTTTCGGTACTGTGTTTGCCACTAGGGACCACGCACAGTTAATATCCTTCTTTGTTTCGATTAGTATGGCAACACACATCATAAAGCATAAGTTTTTGTTATTTAACTCTTTGCAAAATATGATTCAATTGTGCTTTTGGAAAGCGTTAGTATGAATTTGTCTTACATTTACGCTTGCCTTTGTCATTTTTATGATCATTGCGAGGTCAGATGTTTTATTTACCTACACAAACCAGTTTCCGAAAAGCTTCTTGAAAAACATCCTTTGTATGCCAATTTTTTTCTTTGACAGAAGAGCGCACTGGAAGGTTTGGCGACGTATTCGCAATTTTGAAGTTTGTTTAAAACTCAGAATGAGTATATAATGAACAAAAACTCCAATTTACAGTTATAGAAACTCTTGTAAAAGTTTGGAAGAAGTTCAAAATTGCTTGAACACACTTACACTATGCGGATTTGCAAGACATTGCATGATGAGGGCTGCGTTTTCTGAGTTGGAAGGTCAAAACTTTGAACTCAGAACAAGACATTTATAATTGAAATAACCCAACATTCTTTATCATAAATCGTGGATTTATGACCGTTTCGCTCAATGTCGGAGCTCGTCAGCATGTCTGGGAAAGTCGCAGAGAAATATACGTTAAGGGCTTCCAGCATAGAAGGCCTGGTTCGTTACAAACTTAGCAAAAAAATTATTTACGCTTCATCAACTTTTATATGGAATTGCACTTTTTAATGGTCTTGTCATATCTAAATGCTGATTTTTATGGAAACGATTTTATGTCAATATATCAAATGAAGTTGTGGACTAAAAGCAATTAAAATGTGTGTAGATGTTGATCGGTAGTTTATGGCTTCATTGTGAAGTTAAAAGTTTTGAGGTCAGTTTTGCTAATACTGACATTTCTCCTTTAACATAATGCCATTCATTGTCCTGTGTACAGTCATAAAACAAAAGTTACCTTAAATTTACTATGGGTGAATTTATTAGGTGCATAGGGCGTGGCTCTGTATGCAATAGCATTACAAATTTTTTTGCCAGATAAGCCACTGCTTTGAACAATTTTACAAAGCCCAACAATGTTCATTCGACATTTTGGCATCGGACAGAGGTCCAACTTGAAATAAAATGGAACAAATTAGAGCAAATAAAGAGAGGTCGATTGTGCACTAAAAATGAAGACACTAGACGAAATAAAGTTTTTTTGGTGCGATTTTTACAGCCAATAGACTCAGGGTCATTTGGATTAGGCCTTGTGCCATGCCATTGTCTGGAAACAAATGAAGAAATAAATAATATTGGTGCCTGCCATATCTTTAAGAAAAGCTCAAAATGTCGATACAACATCTTGTGTTTACCCCAAGTCATTGGCAATACGCGATTTAATAACAACTGGAAATCTAGTTCGACTTCAAAAACAGCAGTTTTACAATTAGAATCCTTTGATATTCAAAGATGTTCGTGGTCACCATACAGCTCTTCAATATCAATGGAAATAGAAGAAAAAAAATGCAAGTGAAGGATTTCACGATCCGTTCCACGAAAAATGCAGTGATGTCTCATCTTCTTTTAAAGGCGATTAGGTAGTGAAAAAGTATTAGGAAAGCTCCATTGAAACTGTTCAGGGTATATTGAAAATAAGTGTTGAAGCGCATACCCGAAAACCAGTGCAAATGCAAAGCGTTGCTCGAAACATAACTCGACGCTTTGCATCAAATGTCTGGAGGAATCCCGGGAAACCATTTTATTTCGGAAAGTGTTTTATTCAGTACTTGAGAACATGCCTGTCACAGTTGAGAACTATATCCATGGGGAATTCTTTAAGTACGTAAACAACGATGAAGAGTGCTTAGTTCCTCCCAATGAAAAGTCACACGAGTTTTTCTTAAAAGCACAGTGTCTTACTCATTTCAGTATGAAAATAGCAACGAAGAACTTATGCTTTTGCATCTTCAAGGTTCCAAATATTCACTCTACGATCCACAAATATCTACAACTAAGCCTTATGATGCTTTAACGTCTATAAGCAAATCAATTATTCTTAACAAAGAAACTTATTTTTGTGCAGGAAATTTATCATTTTATGTGAGCAATGAAGTCAAACGGCAACATAATTGTGCAAGTTTTGCGAAAGGATGGGACTTAGCAACCTGCCTAGATGTTATGGTTTCTCTTTTTTTATGACACAAGTAGCTACATACCAACAGAAGCTAAAGTCCTGAATCTATAATGAAGGTACATACTTTTTACTGCTACAGACAGCATTGACTATTCCATTTTATGTATTATATATTAAAAGGATTGTACTTTTGTTGCTATAATGTTTACATAGATTGTAGTTGAAAGTATTAAGGTTGAAAAAATATGCTGGAAATAACATTCTCTTGTGTTTTCTTATGTCTAACTCTGGTCACAAGGGTTTTGTAACAAAAATCTATAAATGTTCTGTTAATGCTTTTAGAACAATTTGGATTTGATTAATAAATGTTAACAACAAAATATTGAAATCAACATGCCCCTTTCGAAAAATTCTAAATTAATGTCAGAGTTTTTTATAGAGTAGTACTGGTAGTAGAATCTTTTAGAACCTAAAGACGTTTTAACTTTCTTTGGTAGTCTCTCGATAATTTTCAATCCATGTTCTACAAAGTCAATATTGCTTTTCCACCACACAGAAAGGAAAGACATACTAAATGTCATGTCAAATGTCATGTCAAGCTGAGTGTTTGCGTTATAATTGCAAACTTTGCTTCAGATAAATATACGCTTATGTTACTTTATTCAAATCCAGATTTTCAGAAGCAAGCAGAAGTCTTACACATTTTTCTCTAACTCCTAAATGGACGCATTGCTATATTGAATCAACGAAACTTCGAGACTTCTGCAACCTCCTTCAAATGATCTGGAAATATTAAAACACAACAATGTTCTCCAACATATTAGACAGCTTTAGCAAACGCAACGCGACGTCAACTAAGACGTCTAAATGTTGAGGAGAACTGGGTCGAGGACGACGTTTGTTGTCAAAATATTTCGGCTTAGCCTTTTTGAGACAGGAGTCGTGGACGTAAAAATTTATAGTTCACGTTCAAATAGTTTATTTTCTTCAAAGGGACGAGTAAAAAACAGTTATTTTTACGAAATACAAATGTTTGGTAAAAAAAGAGTGAGATGGAATTCAATATATGTTTGATTTTCAGTCGTTCACAGACGTAAATCGCAGCAAAATTTTGGAAATCAAGTTAATTAGCTTATGCACGTATTTTTGATGAAAATCTTCTGTTATTGCGTTGTTACATTAGAAATTTTGAAAGGATTTAATATTTGATTTTTTTCGTTTTTGACACAAACTTTTTATGTGAAAACATCATGAGAAATCTTTTATAAGTGTTCAAAGGAACTAATAGTATTTTTTTCAAGAATTTAATAGACACATGTGTAAAAGACATAAATTTCTAGGGATGCATGATAAGGATAATTGTTATATTGGTGGAAAAGAACTACTAAACCAATGGTTTTAGGCTTGTTCTCTTACTGCGAAAACATTTAAAAAGTAAAATTCCATACATGGAATCACTCATGCCAACTTATTTGGGTATTGCACGTATACCTCATTTCTTTAGAAAAATTTAATTCTTAAAATCAGGGTTTGTAATGAAGACTAGTTAAATTTCCTACCATAAATAGCTTTCGTACTAGAGCCCTCTATTTATAAAAGTTGGGACAACGGGTCTGGCGCGAGCGCGGAGCCGCCGTTTTCGATCCTACTTACAATACGAAATAATATTGAGTTTGTGTGATATTGGCTAAATGACCTAAATGACCAGCAATTCCGCATTTTTTAATGGAAATTTTAAATATATCATAATTGGCAATGAAGCCTTTGGCGTTTTTGTGAATAATTACTGCAAACAAAACTCAATTTTATGGATTTGAGCTACATTCGCGCTTGACTAGTTCGTGCTTTGAAACTCTTAGTGACCCAATTTAGGGTTTTTTTTACGTCTCCGAACGTATATTCTGGCAGTTTTCAACAACAGCACCAGTATATTTGTTTTCATTGCTTATAATTAACGTGCGATGAAGAAAATACTAGTTATTTCGAATGCATATTCTTGATCAGGAAAACGCGTAACTATACCTCAGATCTGAATGAATGCTTTGGCAGGTATAAAGTAAGTCAAAATAAATCACTGCAGCTTATTTTTGGTTATATTTACATTTCGAAACCGTAGAAGCAACTTAACTGGTAAAAATGTATTCTGTAAAAATTCTAGAATAATAACGTAATTCTAAAACTAAAAAGTAATTTGAATTTACAATTGAACTGCTATAATTTATTTTAAATTAAACTGTGCTTGGAATTGTTAGTGTTATCCATGGCTGGACAAGGCTTTGTTTTGAAGCACTGTAGTCATGAAATTTTGCTTAGGTATTACATATTTTGCAATGTGCTCCAAGCATAAAAATTTAATGCACACAGATTACAATGGTTTTGCTGGAAGATTATGACTTAAGATATTTGTTATTATGCAATAGTTCTTTAATAATCTATTAATCAAATGTGAAGTTGCTTATTTCTTTATTGCTTGTGAAACTGCGATTATAGTTGAAGTGTAATTCAAATGCAGAATGATATAGGCTTCTATTTGGTGAGGCATATGTTCAAAATGAACTTATTTTGTTCAATATAAAAGAATTCTGTTGTTTAAGAACTGTCTTGTTTGTTGCAATTGTTACTGTTTGTACAGACTTTGATATTACATATGAGTCTGATCCAATTTTAATCTAGCTTATAAAAGAGTTGAGTCGAAAACAATCATCGTCAATGAATCTTTATGTCAAGAGCAGTTTGAGAAAATAGTCACTGCGCGCAGTCCAATCTATGGTAAAGCTATTTCTTTCATGCTTCCCGATTCCATGATTCTATCGATATGTTGTCATATGAACTAGCTATAAAATAATTAATTATTATAGCCCATATCTCCAGAAAATCAAATGTTTTCTCATAATACAAGCAAACTTGCTGTAATCGCCATATAAACATTAATTCAAATTTCAAACGTAAGAACGAAATAGGCGGAAATTAATCAAATGACGGATGTTGTCCAATCAACATTTGCAAACAAGAAGCAAAACATGTCCCAACTTTTACAAATAGAGGGCTCTGTAACGAAATAGTCAAGCACAAGCTTTTCTTACACGATTTTTCCTGTCAGGAAACTAAGATTTATTTTTAGTTCCCACAATATGTGCTTTTTGTGTGTCAGCAAAATGGTAGCGAAACCTGGCAAGTTGCCTTTTATAATGCAATGCGGTTTTGAGTGTTTATTCCCTAGAAAATTTTTTTTATTTTATTATGTATTACTGTAAATTATTTTAATTTTGTTAATGTTAATAAACCCAAAGGAAACTTTGCATTTTATATGTAGAGATTCTGGCTAACTATTCAGGAAAAACATTTTTTCAGCTATTCTCTAGATATACCACATTTTTTTTAGTTCATCCCACCTATACAAAATTATCTGATTTTGTTGTTCACACTTCATTTTGTACACTTCTTAGATTAATTTTCCATATTAAAACATGTGCACTTGATTGATTTACTTCGAATTATTATTTATTGTACTTCCGTGTACAAAGTAAAAAAATTACATCACTATTTACAGTTGATTGTATGTGCAGCATTTTCCTCGAATACTAATCACAGAATTTTTTCTTATCTAGAAAAATTTAAAAATGCTGATTTTTATTGTTCTGGTTTCAAGTATATTGATTCAATTATGTTTGTACACAGGGTATTTAAACACTAAAGGTAATACTTGATGTAGGTAGTATTTTTCCAATATTTAAAAAGTTTCTTTGAAATTTGAGGTTGTATACATTTAGTTTACACGTAATTACTTTCAAAATTTATTTTAGCAACCGCTTTTATAAGTTCTTTATAATGTCAATTATATTACCATAGAGTAATTGTTATGCTAATAGCAAAATAGTGAATATTGTGATATGTTTGTCTTAAATAAGAGAAATAATAGAACTATTTTAACAACAGAAGTTTAAGAAATGACATTGAAGTTGTAAGGAAACAAAATAATGCCACTTTACCTTTTCATTCTAGGGTGTAAATATGGAGAGGGGTACTAATCAAAATAGGCAGGATGGTACAGCGGCTTTTCATAAATAAAATTACTTCTAACACATTAACAAAACAAACAAAGACAAATAACGAGAATTCAAGGCTAAAACTCTAAGAATGCACAACATAATAATTATTTTTGATACCATTTCATCCCAAACTATTATATATAACAATGTGGCTAACAATATAATATATGCATATGGTGTAAAAAAGCAAAACCATATAATATATTTTTTTGTTATTACAAAAACTAACAAAACTACCTTTTATCTCATTAAATCACCATTTTCAATCAATAGCAGGTACTTGGTGTTTTTTAAAATATTCTCTTTGGACAAAAAGTGTTTGTGAGATGCTTAAGCTTGTTGCAACCTAAAATTACAACTTGGTCAAACCTTTTTTATGACCTGCAATGTTTTCATACACAACAAAACAACATTCAACAACTTATTATAATCTACTCTTAAATCATTCTAAAAGAAGAAAAGATGTGCCATTCTTGCTCACTCACAAATGCAAAGAGCATTTTCGAGTGACTATTTTGGGGCATCTACTATTCTACTCAAACTTATTAAGCACTTACGTGTATTCATTTGTTAGCGCATTTGTAGCTCTTATCATTTTTGTACTTAACTTCACCTGTCCTTGTTGGTGCTACGTATGCATTATTTTCTTCTGATTTTTCTTCATGAACTAAAATAAAAAGTGCAATATTAATCTTCTAGATTATTCATCATATGGACAACAGCCAAAACTAAAAATGTGGGCAGAGAAACTCTTCTCACAGATTGCACCTCAAACGCTGCAAATCATAGAAAGTAAGAATTTTATATAGCATTGGTTGTAGTGAAAAGAACAATAAATTATAACAGCCCATTTTTAAAAATATTTGAATTTTTAATGTTTTTACAGAGGTTTGATTAGGAATTTTAAATTCATAAGCAGTAGCTTGCTTATGACATTTTTATAGCTTTAACAATCAATTGAGCTACTGCAGTCTAATTTTGAAAACACTGGATCATCTTTTTTTGTATTTTTTTTTTGTCTTTTTGAGTAACGTTTTGCAAAAATGTACCATGGCATTTAAAGGATAATATGACTATGAAAGAGGATTCAAAAACAAAAACAGATGTCAAAAACTGTTCAATTTCACCTCCTCTCCCCCTCCCCCATGAGGATGTTTCTGAAAAATATAATATGTAATTGGTGATGCCTGAAAGTTTGTAGTACAACGAGGTCTTTCGAAAATGATTGTAAAATGTATTCAGCTTTATGCTTCTGCTCATCACTAGGCTTTTTTGAAATTCATATAACTGTCTACAAAGGAATAAAGTTTTTTTTTAATGAACTATAATTTCACTGATTGTAAAGGAAAACTTTCATGAAATCCATTCTTATTTTCAATAGTATAACCTTTTTTCCGTTTAGTTGATAAAAAAGTTGTTAAAAATCCTATAAAATTTTAGAGCTTTAAAGTTCCAAGTCTTTAAATAACATTTGCGAAATTGTTGAATGCAGCTGCTGATTTCTAATATAGAAATCTAATTCTCTACTGACAAATTTCCTTGTTTGAATTGTCTTAATCTGTGTTGTATAAGGTCGCAATTTTGATACTGCAAAAATTCGGACATATATGTCGAGAATCTTGTTTCAGGGGCAAAAAAATTAAGTTACAAGGCAACAATATAGTATTTTACGTACGAATGTTCAAAGTTCCTTTTTTCATTTTGCTTTATTCGACGACTACGTTATTCTTAAGACTAAAGGGAAGAATGCTACTTATCAAGTTGCTTAAATGAGATAAAGTGTTATATACCGGTATAAAATAAACAATAGGTTGGAACGCTCATATAAGTATATGAAACAGGTAAATGAACGTATTTCAAATATCATTAAAACCCCTGTTGGTTTAAATACTTTATGCTGTCAACCATTTTTCATAAAAATACGTTCTGCAATGCATAAGATGTCGTTTACTATACCAACGAATAAATTTGCTTTTGACTCGTATTCATTTATATGTATTTCTATTTTTTTAAACAGTTTGTCTTGTTTATTGTTCTTTTTTGTTATAATAAATATTACGAGGAAAACATAGAAATTTTGGTTTGATTAAGGTTTGAGCTTTATTGTGGTATTACATGCTTGTCAATGATAGATTAACGCTTTATTTCTCTTTTTTTTTGTCTTTTGAATTTGATCTTTTCTTTGATCTTGCTATACGACAAGGCATTGAGAGCGTTAAAGAAAGCATCATACCAACTTTACATGTATAACATTAATTACAGCCCAATCACTAAAAATAAGTAGAACGGTTAATGATAAAGACATAATTTGGACATCATTCTTGAGTTTCAACGGGACAGAATTATGAAAAAAACTAAAAATTAGCTTAATTTTGTTTAATTCTTCTGTAGAGACACACAATAAACTTTACAATGAAAACTTAAAAACTTTAAACGTCACACAGACTTAATGGGAAAGAAGAAAAGCAAAAACTTTTAAAAAACTAAAGATCAAAATACACCACCCTGTGTTCCATTGCTCTTCCTTCTCCCTTTAAGGAATTCAACTTTAAATCATTTTGGGCTTAAACTCAAACTTTCCACAGATGTCATAATTTCTAGTCGACACGCTCTTTTATTTGCAACAAACCTGTGATAAACAAGAAAAGAGAAGCCAAATTTTTACCCTGGTTGTTTGTTGTGGTTTTTAAATTTTAATGTCTTTTTAATGCTTATTTTGACTTTCTGTGCGTATAGCAGATATTGATTCTTCTGTTTTTTGGGCTACATTCTCACAAGGTAATTACTTTCAAATGGTGTTTTATTTGCCAAAATTTCTTTTCCTACTGCAATTGCCAAATTTTGATGTGTGATGAAGAAGTTGAAAACAACTTCCGTAGCTAAAAGCGATCTAATACGATATCAACTGGTTAACTATAAAACTCACGTTCAACATCACGTAAAAATGCATCCTTCCGCCGACAATTTATAAGCATTTGAAACTAACAAAAGTTTAGCAAAGTTTTCCAAAAGATACGGAACATTAATTATATATTTGTTTTGCAGAAAATAATGATAACAGATATTTATGTATTTTAAACTTTTCTCTTTATAATTTGTATGTAATAAAAACATTATTTACTGACAAGCATGCATGACTGAAAGTTTTGGGTGAACAAATACGCTTTTCCTTTGGTCTAGGTCGCTAAGTGCTCGATGTTAAGACTTCTACCATTTGGCATTTAGTAATCAATCTCCTAACCCTGAAAAGAACTCAAAACAACTTTCCTGTTCCTATAATCAAGTTAACTTTTGATAAAAAGTGTTTTTTATTAATGTTTAAATTACAGATTTTGGCAGTATTTTTGATGGGGACTTATCAAGCAACCTCACATGGAGGTTTGACTTTAGTTATCTCACGCAACGAAAATTTTGCTACAGCTATAAGGAGATGACAAGTTTTAACCCTAATGGAAAAAATGGGGACTTTTCCAATGCAGTTGAATTTGCAAAAGGAGGGCTTGTTTTGTTCGAGGATTATGGTTCTGGTGTATTTCAACGTTTGGCAATGATTCACAAACTAGAAAAAAATGACCATGTTTTCTTTGAGGTAAGAATAAAAATACCTTCCAATCAAATTGGCTAATACAAGTACTTTAAAAGTAAACTCGAAGTAAAATTTCTAATGAATTCAGTATAATGCGTCAAAATAAAAAACATTATTAAGTATTTCATGTCGTCGAAATAAAAACACCATTATGTGAGCGTCAAATGTTTGTTGCTCGATGTAAGTTAAAGAACATGTATTGTTCTCTTTATGAAATCCATCCTTTTTTGGAATATTTTTGTTTGCAACAAGCGACAGCCAATAAATAACGCTAAATATTGAATCAATTGGCCTGCTTGCAGATATTAATCTGGGCCACAAAATATAGAGCCTATTCATCGTTAAAATGCAAGTACATCCAATGATTACTGAATATAATGAACAACTTCAAACCTCTCTCAACAACACCGAACGCCACTGAACACCTCTTAATACCTCTCAACACCACTTAACAGAGTGTCCAAATTCTCTAAACACGTTGAGTCGACAATGTTGAATATATGTTGAGTAAACAAGTTGAGTTCAGCTTTAAATCCCACAACATTTAATGAGTTTCCTTCCCTTGGAGATATAGAATATAATAACACTGGAGGCTATTTAGCCGAGTGGCTTTGGAAATGTTTAATTTACGCAAAAGCTGTACTAAACGACTTTATTTCATTATTTACTTTGGTAGTTATGTACTCCGTTATTTAAATAGAAATATTTTCTCTGGAGAAAAAATTTGAAACGTGATATTGTTGCATGCTTTTCGACTTTACATAAATTAAATATAGATGAGTGTAAAAATACGTCATGTGTGAAGGTTTAAATAGGTTGTGTGCATTTATTCTCCTGGGAAAGTGTAGAAAATAGGTAAGCAGTATAGAAGAGTCGTGTTCAGAAGAAAAAAAATCGTAATCAACAGGGGAGTTCAGTTGGACAAATGTATTGATAGTTAGAAATATGTTAAGGCAATTGTAAAGAGTGCGATTAATAAGGAAATGGAAGTGTGCCATGTTTCTAATGACAGGATGATAAAGAAATAAAAGTATATTCGTGATTTAATCAGGTAAGATAGATACTTATCCAATTATCGGAAAATTAGAAAACGATCATCGACGTAGCGTTTAATATCGACGACGATAAATAATCATCGACCCAACGTTTAAGCTAGGAGATAAAGATATTAGCCTATTAAAGACGTAGAGGGGTAACCCATTCTTCGTATTGGGCTTTTGGAACGGCTCATTAGAAGTCTTATCTTTGAATATCATGTTCAAATTAAAAATTCGGTTTCTGCTTGGCAAATCTTCTGCAACGACTTTAATGAAATGTTTAAAAAGTTAAAAAATTTGTATGTTTAATTTCCCAGACATTGAGCAACTGTTATCTATATCAATTTTTACTTTATGTATTACGTTATAAGAATCATTATTTTTTACATGTAGTTTGCATGAATTTTGAACCCACTCAAATGATGTTTTACACATTTAGTGTTAATTAAGCACCCTCGCTAAGAAAATCCAACACTATTATTAGTGGTAATAAAACATGCTTGTATGTAAAAGCAAAAGTGGCACTATTTCAGATTTGGTGGTGCTTAAAGAGCACTATTATCCATGATAATGTAATGCCTCCTCGTTGTTTTAAATAAGCATCAATAAAGTTGTTAGTTTGACACCTTGAAAACAAAAAATTAATTTTTTTTTTTCTGTTATGAATGTTTGGGTATTTATTCGAAGAAGTACTTTTATCAGACAATTTTTTGAAAATTCACCTCAAACGAGAGCAAAATTTAATGATTGAGCCCAATTGATTTGTTAGAAAATGTGAGGATTCCATGCTAATCTCTGCTTTATTTTAGTATGATTTCATTGTATGGATGGGTTTGTTTTTCATGTTGAATCGATAAAATGTAACACCCCTGGTTTCCATTAGACAGTCGAGATAAAACATACCTAATCAGTAGACAGGGTACAGGTATAGAACCGCCGACATCAGCATTTTTCACGGAGCTCTTACCTGTGTCAAATAGTTTCAAGTCTTTCAAAGTCCACCGGACGCCGCGTGTCAACTGGAAACCGACTAAGAATGCTTTTGACTGGTTTATTTGATGAATGGGAAATGAGGCATGGATTAATTGAAGGGAAAGATTGCTTGTTACTGCTAAAACATACAAGTATTATATCATTTTTTGCCGATATAGAAAAGAGGTTACGATTTTATAAAGTGACTAGTTTTCTTCTTACAATAAAAATAGCTTTAAAAGTTGACATTTAGTTAGCAAAAAAATTTAAGGAAACATTTGATATTGACGAAGAGTAACAAACTTAAGGGAAACGTCAAAATTATACAAGATAAATTGTTGAAGTGTTATGCCAAGAAATAGAGTTCATAATATCCAGCCTTGTTGCTAAAGACTGTTACGGCTGCAGTGTTAATCACCCTTCGCAAGGACGCCATGATTGTTTGATGATGGCGAACAATGAAAGAATATTATTTTACATTAATAATGCCGTATTGAAAATTTATGAAGAAGATTTAATGAATCGTTCTTCAATACTTTAAGTGCCCTTAGTCCTAAGTAAACGGGCTAGAATTGATCAAGTATATACATACAAGGACGGAGCAAAAAAAAAACCAAATGAAAAACGAAACAATGAACTTTTTGAATTAGATTTATAAATCTTTACTTTATTAATCAGTCATTAAATAGGTAATGAAGCTTGTCATAAAGGCTCTGAAGATAAAAATAAAAATTACCACAACGTAAAATTTTGAACAAATCTTCGTAAAACATAGAACTATAATTCAACAACATTCGATAGTTAAAAATGCTGTCAAAAATATTATCGGCAATTCTCCCTCGCTTCAAGGCATAATGGTTAATCCTTATCAAGAATAGGGAACCGTTATAGATCACCGTCTAAAAATATCGAAAGTCGTAAATTTTTAATTAGTTTTGCTTAATGAATAGTTGGAAAGAAACAGAACAATCAGGTGCACGTGCTGGTCTATTGTGCCAGAAAGAACTTGCTCAATACTGTTTAAGTCCTAACTGGTGTTTATTCTGGTGCATGTAGCAATTGCCCGGCATTTTGAAATTAGAGAATCGATGCACTTTCGAGTTTTGTACTCTTTGACAGCACTAAAGCAACATGGCAACCATGAAAGACGTGGCCGTTCAAGCAGTTCTTTAAAGAAACACAAGATTTTGGTGGATGAAGGCGTAAGCGGAACTTCGTCTTTTTTAACAAAATGAAAATTTAAGCTTTGGCTGTTGCTGGCTAGTATCTGTGCAGTGTTTCAATTAATATGCCGTTAAAAGTACCGTCGGTAATCTCCGTCTTTTCAGTGTGGCATGGTTAATCCTTAACCGCTATAGATCACCGTCTAAAAATATCCAAAGTTATAAAATCTTAGCGTAATAAAAGACTTCCAAAAATGTTTTCTGTATTTTAACACTACTTTAAACCATTTATGTTTTAGCATTTGTAAAACTTGCAATCGTAATGATTTTGTCAAAGTTTCAGGGGAAAAGCATCAGTATGCCGATTGCTTCAAAATTTGTCGTTCACTATCTCGTTTTTATGCGCACAAAATGTCACGTTGGTCAAAGGGGACTGATTTGCATTAGCTTGTGAGAAATCGTTTCGATGTCATAGTGTTCAAACGATCAACGAATGTCTGATATATTTACCGCAGTTCGCATCATCGTGGAATATCCGTTATGTTTTTAACACAAAATCTATTCCTTCCTGGTAAACAGTGAATTATGTTTTTAACACAAAATCTATTCCCTCCTGGTAAACAGTGATGAACGATTAGTCTTAAATCTCGTTACATGAACATTTTTAAAAACCCAAGAGATTGTTTGGGTATTTCAACGTTGGACGTCAAATGTACAGGAAAAAATCCAATTATCTTTTGGAGACATTCCAAGACACCACGTGCCGCCCTTATGACTATCTTGTGCTGGATATGCATTAACACCTGATAATATGCGTGTTAGAACAAGCATTTTACTAGGATGAAAGCATATTGCCTATGTACTTAAACGATAAAGGACCACAAGAGGATTCATTTGAGCATCATGTCTCGAATAACAAAGAAAAATCTTTTCAATCAGAAGGGTGGAAATGTACTGACTGCGTTACTACCACCTTTTTTTAAATGTGCTAGGATGTTTGCTGACAAAATGAAGCGTGCCAGACGTATGATTTCAGTGCCTAAAGAAGTTCATAACATGCACAAGCTTACAACAAAAGTAAAAACTAGAAACTTCGCTCATTACAATGAATATCTTACATAAAAATTGCTTACATTCTCGTGTTCTTAAAAGCAAAATTTTTCAATATCAACTTTGAACAATTCCTCACTTAAAACAACAAAAAGATAGTGGAATACCTATGGTACGGGTAACGGATGCAGTCGATGGCAAAGAAAAGGAAACTGTAAAAAGGGACGAAGGACAGAGTTTAGCTGACTCCACAATTGTTGAAAATGTTCCAAAGACAGTGCGTGACTGTGCGACAGCTATAATGCATTGTCTTACAACGCACCTGATGTTATTGCAAGGGATGCATATGGACAAATGAAACTTGATGGTATCACTATTTCTCAATCAAACATATCCGACTTAGTTGGAGACGCTCTGAGAAGAAGAAGGAATTCCAAACCAAGAGGTTCCAAATAATTTTTTCGTATATTGTCGAAAATAAACATTCCTCGGGATCTGATTCAAAATGAAACAAGATGCAACGAAGCCCAAAGTTTATCGAGCGAAGAAGAAACGCGTAGTCTTTCAACTTCAACAACACCAAAAGCTTCATTTAAACCTAAAAAACTCATTTCCGCTTGTTGACCTATTAACTTAGGATGTAATTGATCATTTTTTAATTAATGCTACATTTGTTACTAATCTCCTGAGTATTGTTACATTTATTAGGATAATGTAAACACTCATAAAAAAATTAAGTCACAATAAAAACGTTTTATTCAATTTACATTTTAGATAATGCATGACTGATTGTTGTTATTACTAGCTACATTTTTAATAAGAAAATGTTCGCTTACAAAACGCGATACCTTGCTGTCGTTTAAAATAGTATATCAATTAAAGGTGTGTACAATTTTATTCATACTATGCACTCGAACTCTTTGGCTGAGGTGAAATACGCAATACTGTCCACATACATCTGTCCAAATACTTTGTAATTCACGTTTATTAAAATTCCAATTAATGTTTCAAAGAATCCCGAAAAACGTACGACATTTTCAGGTGGCTATCCATAGCTATCAAAAATGCTGCTGTTTCCTCAAAGTAAAAGCCACCCAATGTGTTCCTGGTTTTCCACTGATATCTGTGTTTGCGGCAAAATCTATTGGGTAACTGCTGATTTTTTTTTGGGACGACAATCGGCAGGAACCGAGAATTTCTTGCTCGCAACAGGGTCGGATCTTAATGCAGTCAAAATTTGCCAGTTGTTCATTTAGCCAATATAGTCATGAGTGAAGTTTCTTTCGGAGTTTATGCGAATTATATACTCAAAATCTCCATAGCAAACAAGACAAACTGTATCAGTTGGCGGTGCTGAGAACTGTAGGTCAATAGCAAGGTTTCCATTAAAATGGCTCGACGAGCTACTCATATCAGGCGTCAGAGCAGCTCCAAATAGAGTAAAACACTTAGGATAATCCTAATTGGGATTTTATTGCCTGTATCGTATCGATGCTCGTAAAGATCGAGAGTAATACTTCAACAAATCTGGGATTGTCGCCAAAGGACAACTTGATCGGTTTATATGGTGCAGATTCTCCATTCACTGAAATAGCTAGCGATGATATGTTGGAATGTTCAAAATTGAAAGGGTTTTTTTAGCCCTGCTAAATTCTGCACTTTCCACAAGACCAATGACAATTGATTTAGGAGCGAGACCATTTAAAGGTTATCTTTTTGCAGCAAAGGGTTTCCTGAAGGAATAATAAAACTCTTGAAGTCTACGTGACGTATGCGGTAAATAGCTGGACCTTTTAAAGAGTAACTTTGTTACCCAAAGACGCACTAGGATTCACTATAACTTTGCGAATTTTAAGATACACCTCTACCAGCTTTACTTTAAAAGCAGTGTCGACAACTGACGACACAAGAAAAATATCGTGTACGCACGATAGGCATATTTTTCTCTTGCTTGTGTGACAAACTTTGTAAAAAATTATTCATCTGCCCAACTTTGGCATCGGCATCAAGATTCTGCCCGTTGGCTTTGGTCATTTTGCTCTTACTACCAACATCGTTTTAGACAAGTCAACGCAATCTTCAAATCCTGGCGATTTGAAAGTAAGCGGCCCGTTGTCAGACACATTAGATAGAGGAAGATGATCAACCCAATGCCCTTTTTTATAGCGGTTTGTCTTGGTGGCATATAGGATAGATCAAGTTCACTTTTTGTACATTCTTATGATTTCGGATAAACAAATTCCATCTTTTTAACAAAATTATCCTCTTCTATAGTTGTTCTTCGTCTCTTGGGCTATCGGCGAATGGCCCTGGAAGGTGAAGGTTTACTCTTTTTAGGTAAATGTTTGGTTTGTATCACGCCTGGTACTCCACACTACTATATCGTACTTAATAAAGTTCTTAACTGTCTATTCTTTTGAGCAGCTGATGCATAACTCTTTGTAATTTTTTGGTTAATGAAGATTTACCAAATGGAAGAAGATTAAATTTGTATTGACTAAAAGGCGTATTAAATGTCGTAAGATAGCTTGAAGGATCATCCAGCGTATGTCTGCCAAAATCTGCATCCACTCCATCGAGCACTAAGAAATATGTAGGTCGAAATTAGCCTAGATACGACTTCTTTAACAGTAAAGAGAGGGTAATACTCTCGTTGATTGGCTTCGTTAAGAAGATGTCTTTTCCCTGTTACCATGTGCAAAAATCATTTTTTTACTTTTTGTAGATGGTTAATTTTACCAATTTTCTGCATTCAATCTAATTCTTCTTTAATTTTCATTTTAATAGTTACAGGAACACGTTGCAGCGAATCAACCTTCGGCTTTACAACTTTTTCATCTTTTCATTTGATGCTTTATAGGTAAACAACCAATATCGGAATATTTATTAATAGTATTGTCAGTAATGGAAATAGGATTAACATCTACAGTTCTCTTCACCATACACAAACGCTCGGTATTGGGTAGACAGGAAATAGGCTTCCCATTATGTTTTGCAACATAGAAAAGAAGATTGAATTGTTTGTCTTGGTAAAAAAATTTTATCACTGCATGTCTCATGCTTTGGATAGTGTCTCCAATATATGATGTTAGATTTTTATTTGATTTAGGAATTTATTGACCACTTTCTGTGATTTTGTCAAACAATTTTTGTGGAAGCACATTACACTTAGCTTCGGCGTGAGGGTGTCCACCTACACCTTTACAGAATGCTAGCCAATCTTGAGATAGGAATGTTATACGACCTTGCGCTTTTGTACTTCTTTCATATTCATTCGATTGCCGACTTTTAAACATTTAATTTGTTGTTAGGCGGAAGTGCATGAGCAGTACCGACAAACAACTCATCATCTTTAATTTTATTATACGTTGGTTTTAAATTTTTTGTAGACTTCAGACACACCCATGTTTTTCGTATAAAATTGTCGCAGACTTTTCCAAAAGCTGGACATTGCTTTTGAAGAATTCCCCTCTCCCACATACGCACACCATTTCTACCGATCTTATTGATACCACACACAATGCGATATGTAATAAGTTTGCCCCACATGCCTCCAATATCACAATTTTGAGTTACGTTTTCGCAAGTCAGTAAAAAAGAGCTAACTGACTAAGACGGACATTGTTTTCTCTTAGGAAATAAATGTTTTTGAATGTTAAGTTCATAAGCGGTCCGCAAATTCCTTCAAACTTCTTCACTTTAGTATCTGGGTAGTCTTTATGCTATTCTTCTTTTATACGTAAACGAATTGTATCTTTTTATTTCGACTATGTCCATCAGTAACAATATATATTTCATAGTTCTGTTTGAAACCACACCAATTTTCTGAAATTTATTATGAGGTCTTGTGTTTAATGCCTCAAATTTAAAAAGTGCAGGCTGCATACATGCTACATAAATATTCTACTTCATTAATATTTATGTTAATACATAGAAGTGACGTCGCAGGAGTTTTGATTTCATGTTTAATTCTTAACTAAATTCTTCTTTGTTTAGGAATATATGTTTAGAAAATAAGCGTAATTGGTTCTTTTCGAAAATCAATTCCTTTGCTTCAATGAATAAATGGTGCATTTAGGACGGTCAAAATTGCCTCCACATAAAAAAGGAATAAGGCCTGTCAATGTATAAAACTCATTTGAATACTTTTGAAATACAGTTAAATTTATGCAGCTAGCTAAATCAGTATATGAGCATGATTCTTCATGTTCATTTTAGACACAATGCATAATAGCTTTGTTAATTAGAACATGTAAAATCTTAAATGGAGAAAGTTTTCCTGCTATAATAAGGGAACTGTAATGTTTTGTTAATAATGTCCCACAAGTACTAATTGAAAGAAGTTTCCTATCTTTTTGCCGATTAAAACTAATTACTCTTGAAACCATTTTCATGCAAATAGATTTAAAATTGGTCTTTTCAGACCCAGTATAGGCCGTCAGAGCGACTCTTTACACTTAGTGTGAAAAATATTTTAAACGCCATGTTTGCTAAAATGACTCCACGATCAGTACCATTCTCAGCATTTTAATTAAATTTTGTTTAGCTTGTTGACTTACAAACTACATAAACGTCATTGAACAAATATATCGATGAAAACCTTTGAACACAAAAACATCTTTTGGGATTGAAATTTTTTCAATATTAATTCAATACAAAAAATACAATGATAAATTAACTGCTTGCAAATTGAAAAATCGAAATATTTTTTAGCGAATAAATCGTAAGGAAAAAAATTTACTTCATAAATATTTAAAATGACTTTTAAACGAATTATGTGTCCATGTATTATATATTTGTGGTTTCCAAGCAAACTATATTATTTGGCTGTAATGTTTTACATTTACAACGTGTTTTCTTTGTAGATAGATGGTGAAGAGCTTATTGAAATTCCAGTCTTCGTGAATAAGTCATTTAATTACCCATTTCCAAAGATTTTTTTGCGGCTAAATGATAAGGGAAGAAACAGAGCTGGCTTGTACGTAACACATCCAATATCTTATGCCAAAAGTTTTCGCATTATAGTAAGATGGCCAGGAAGTGATCATATTGAAACAAACACGGCGTGGAACGAATCTTTTGTATGCCGCACAACGGGAGCACTATGTAAGAATGTTTTCTACCATTCGGTTATTTCCAATAAATTGGCACAAGGAACAGAAATTAAAACTCATTTCAAGGACTATGTTTCACAACAGCCTTTATCAAAAGAAAATTTATTGCGAGGATTTACAAATGCACTTTCAATAATGGCAAATGATCCTGAAAAATTTGCTCCCGGATTAGGAAGAAAATGTTCACTATTTTGTCGAAGAGTTAAACCGGGAGAAGACATCGTCTTATTTGAAGCTAACAACGGATCTCACGTAATTCACTCACTACGTCTTAGAGTTTATGATATGTTAAATGGCCAAACTGTAATCTCACAAAATTGGATGCGAATTCTTATAACCATGACATGGGACAACAAAGAGCCACAAGTCAAGGACATTCCATTGGCAGGAATTTTAATACTGGTCTTGATTACATAAGAGAAGTGAAGAGTTTAACAACAGGACTAAGGAATATGACCTGTGAATTAATGGGTGCAGAATCATATAGAATGAAAACGTTTGACTGGACGGCTTATCTTTATTATGAAATGCCATTCTGGAAGTCTGCAAAAATTATTGTCAGGATACCTGATGGATACAAGCCTGCAATAATTTGTTCGCAGTTCTCAGTAAAGGAGTTGGACTTTAAAAAATATCACCGGCAATTAACTGGCTACTTCAGTGCGCAAGTAACTCAAGTTAAAAAACTTAGCTTGAAAAATATAAATCTATTTCACTTAAAAAAGCAATGGGGACATGTTGTTGCTGTCAACTACTTTTCAAAAATAGTTGGTTTTAAAACAATAATAGAAAATGATGTAATGATTGAAACAAATGGTGCTAATTCCCCAATTTTCCCTGGTACAGGACTGGAAGATTTTTTCCACTATTTCTTTGGTTTTAATAGTGTTAGAAACAGCTCATCTCCTTTCAATGGTAACCCTCTCTTCATAAAATATGGTCGACTGTTTTTAATAAATGCTTATCGACAAAACACATTGGATCCAATATTGTTTACTACAGGCATTCGCATATATATTGAGGCTAAGTGTAACCAACTACCAAAAAGCTACAGAAAGTTTTCGGGTACCTCTTCATTTGATCCTAATATTCCAAAAAACTCTTTGTTCACAGTTGTTTTATACTACGGTAACAAAGGAACTGGGGGTAGTTATACAGATAAGGTAGTATATGGTGATGAGAATAATGGTTTATCTAGAAGAGTTCGGTTCATTCCAAAAAATGTGAAATCATTTTCATTTCAAGTATGTTTGAAAGTCAAGTGGGAAAGTTTTTTAATAGAACTGTAGTTTCCTTAGAGCCAGGACAGAGTGTGACTCATTCACTCGCTATTTCTATTAACAATGTTGGTGTTATTCTACGGCGTGAGTATCACTCCATGGTTCCAAACCAGAAAGCAAGTGTAACGGTTGATGGCAATGCGGCTGGTATGTGGTTATGTCCCCAAAGAGCCGCAAATAAGGAGATGTCATTGCGAGTTAATGATTACCTTCTTCCAATTTCACAGACTAAAGGAAAGGAAGTCATCAAAGTAACGCTAACAGCTATTACAAAATGGGAAAGTGTTTCAATTGAAGTACTTTCGGCAATTTTGACAATGTAGGAATAAAACTTATAATTTTTGCATTGCCCTTTATGATATATCAGAGCTTTTGTAATGCAATAATTAGTCTATCTTAATTATATTGATATTGAAATATTTTTTTATTCGTTAATTGTTCAGATTTATGCTAGAAAAAAGTTTTATCCTCTTGTATGTGTAAAAATATTTATGCATTCTAACGTTAATAAGATGCAATAAATTGATATTACTACGTAAACATATACTGCAAAAGGAAAAATCTATTTAATGCGATCGAACGTTTACAGATTGATAATATTTTATTGAAAAAGCTTTTGGCTGCCTGTCTTCAGCCTCCTCCATTACCGCCATGCTTTTAAAAACCGGGTCCAGTCTCCTTCCCTCTACAGGTCTTATATAACTCAATGAACTTATTAAGCATGTAACAATAGCAGTATTGATATCATTGTGATCCTATAGTGCATCCATTACCCACTCTACTCCGTTTTTGTATATCTATCACCCCAATATTCTAAATCGGCTTTGAAAAAAAGGTGCAGTTTTTAATAATTGTAGTCGCTTTAGCTCTCACAATTTTTTCGCGCGGTCATAGGAAAAACGTTACATTCAAGATGGACAAACATATGACAATTTATGCCATGCTTGTGTTCAGGCGTAACATCTAAAGTTTGTGCACATTTCTGATAATGTATTGTTTTCCTCTTGGCAACATATATTTTTGCGTCCTGTACTCATGGCTATAAAAGCTACAGTCGCACCTAAAAGATATAAACATCTTTTTACTTAGGGAAAAACAGTGAAGCATCAATAAAATGCAACTAATTATCGAACATTTCCAATTCTGTGAATGTATTCATCTTCGCTTTCCGATGTCGTTGAATTGTCATCATTATGATCATCTTGTGCGTTGGCCAAGGCTCAAACATGTAAGGTTGTACCTCGTTGTTGATAACATTATATAATTTTTGAGCCTGCAGCACACTCAATCTAAGTTCATCACATTATGGTCACTACGTCGTCTAATTTAGCTAAAATTATAGCAAGAAAACATCAATTAAAAAGTTATCAAGTTTGTAAAAATTGAAAACACGTCAAAAATGTTAATCTCCGAATCGGATTTGGCTTTGTCTTTTCTTTTATCATATTTACGAGTCGGGTGTTGTTAAACTTTCCGTTTTAGCATTTTAGGCTTAGAAAACAACGCTATTTCAAATCTAAAGATTATAAAATTACTGTTTTAAAGTTTTTGTTTGGTTAAAATTCCTTGGACAACAAATAATAACATAAGCTAACATTTTCGCGACCCCAAAAATGTCCGCCGTGATCAATGGGCAATGCATTTTGATTGACACACATTCTTTAAAAGCCCCCCAAATATTTCGGAGGCAACTTAATTGGTAGAAGTTTATTCTTTCGAAATTAGTTACAAATATTCTTATTTTAAAAACTATTTGATTTTAAAATTGGTATAGTTTATTTTGAATTAAACTGTACATGCTGATGAGACAGTGTTATCTATACTTGAACAAGCTTTCATTTGGTAGATCTGTTGACGTGAAATTTTGCTTTTGGGAGATTTGTATTTCATTTTTTTATGCAATTTTAGTAATGATTTGAGCATATCTTGCAATGTGATCCTACAATGAATATTTAAAGCAAACAGATTACAAAGTACTTTTCTGGAGAATTATGGACTTTTTTCATTTATTAAAATAATGGTTAGATGCAGTAGCTCTCCAAATTAAGTTCTATTGATCTGATGTGAAGTTGATTTATCACATTGCCTGTGAAATTGTAAGTATGGTTAAAGTTGAATTCTAATGCAAATGGTATAAGATTCTGTTAAAGTGCACATAACGGGAAAAGTTTTTTGCAACATATAATCTTGGCATTGTTCCTGTTATTATTGCGAGAACAAAAATATAATTGGTCATATCGATAAATTTTATTTTACTTTAAATTTTGCAAAAAGCGGCTTTTGAGTGGATCATGGCAGGTAGAAGCAGGAAACGAGTAAGTTTTTTGATGTCATTCAAGGGAGTCATGGAATACAGTTTATATTAAGAGTATTCCTTAAATAGTTTTGATTCAACACTTGATAACAGACAAATTGTATCTAATGTTTGATGGCAAATATAGTTTTCTAGATGCTAAATTGACAAATAAATGTGTGCCTTAACCACAAGCAGCAAGAAGGAAAGAGGCTAAGAAGAATATCAGGCCCTGTTTACATGAGACCGGAACATAGTCAAACCGTACCAGCTCGTGTCGGTTATATTAGCATTTATAATAGATGTGTACATGGGACCGTTACGAAAATAACTCAGAGCGGTCTGAAGTCATACCGTCTGCTGAACCTATCCGACTGAGTTCAGAGTGGCATGAATTAAGACCGGCATCAATGTAAGCTTAAATTAACGTTCAGACCGGTCTGAAATGGCAGCAACGCATGAGCACAATAGCGAATTATAAAAACAAAATGGCCAGCAAGTGTAAAACTAGCCTGCAAAGGAGGCATTACGCAAATAAGAATTTTTCCTGATTTAGTGCCGGTCCTATGTAAACATGCAACAAATGTTGATTTTCATTCCGGTTTCACTTCGTTCCGGCCTCATGTAAACAGGGCCTCAGCTGACTTTGATAAGGCAAAACGCGTGTTTAAACCGTTTGGAAGGCTAAAGTGCATATTATGTGTATTTGAAGCCTACAGATTAATAGCGTCGTTTTCAACTGTTTCCTGATGAAAAGAGAGTAAATTATATACAGACCGTTTGAAATAAAATGATCGTTAACAACAACCTTTTAAAATCTAGATTGTTTATTAGTCAGATGACCTAGTGTAATAATATAATTCAAATTAATATGGTTATATTAATACGTTCACTAAACTAAGTTGTTCATTTTGTATCATTTTAACCCGTCTTAGCATTTTTCATAAGCTTATTTTGTCTGCTAACGATTTTTGTTAGCAGAAGCTCTATCTCGCATATGCTGCTATTCCATTTAGGGATTGTTTTCCCCGAAATGTAGTTAATGTTTGAGTCATCGTTCTTACAACTTTGCAATAATTGTATTACTTATAAAGATAATGACAACAACGAAATTCCTCTAAAAAGCAGAAAAAAATTATAAATTATACGTCATATTTCATCACACTTCGTCCAAAGCAACTAATAGCAAAACATTGCCGAGTCCAGACTCCCTTGCATGAAGTCAAAAAGAAAGCTAGAGCCAGTCTATTTGCCGTTGCAAAACACGACGTCCATCAAATACTAAATATAAATAGCAATAAAAATCAAACAATTGGACGAAATAAATTTCTGTTTTCGCAAAAATACTAGAACAAATGTTTCGACTTCATTTTGCCAAAAAATTGGGGTTTATAGTTCCATTAAACATTTTAGTGAGGCATTATTGAAAAGAAACTTATTGTTTTTCCAATGGCTATAAAACAATTTTATTTTGAAGTAAAGTCTTGTTGTCTACAAATGTTGGTAAAGACTTTAATACCGCATATGTGTCGGATCCAATTTTTAATCAAAAATAAAAAAATAATGAGTTTAGTAAGACAAAACTTCTGTATGTTTTCCCTAGTTGTATTAAAAGACCAAAACATTTATTTATTCATTGATAAGGTAATTGACTATATTCTGGTTTAAGGTACAGAAGGCATTATATTATAAGGAATATATTTTACCAAGCTGCTTTAGCAAAATATTTATTTTGATTTATAATTTCAGACACTGCACATTCAAATGATGAGCAGAAAATTCAGGGCACAAAATTCAAAATGAAATAATCGAATGGTATTTAGGTAATTTGGTTGAAGTAGTTA